TTTATAAAATTTTTTAAAAATTTTTTTTGAAATCCCACCCGCCTATTAAAACATATAAAAAATTTTTTTCAAAAAAAGTTCAAAATATGACCCGGCCGGGTTATGAGAACTAAAAAATTAAGTTTATATGGCCTTAGTACAAATTCATATATAAATTTATATGTGAAATAACCCTTCGAACTTAATGACCCTAACTATGTTTTGATTAATTAGTTTATTGAACACCCTGCAATCACTACTTTAGACTTTTAATTAAATCATGATCACCCGATATATTATGCATTAGTTCACGATGTTCGATCAACACGTGCATGGGTATTGTGCAGAACTGCGACAATATGCGTAATATTTTAAAGTAGATTAGAGATTAAAATATTTTTTGTATCAAATTTTTTCAAGATATTTTTTATATTAGAGTGCAAAATGTGATTTCATAGTCGAAATTTTCCCTTATTTTGAACATCTCTAATTTGGATAATTTCAGGTTGGTTAGGTTAACGTTTAACCTGAACCAGACCCAAAATTTTTAGGTCATATATTTCTAACCCGAACCAACCTGACCTGAAAATTTGGGTCAGGTTTCAGTTTGACTTTGGAGCACTAATGCTAAAATTTGAGGTCTTTATTTAAATATACTAATCAACTAAAATCTATAAATACTTTTTTATCAATACTTCTAAATCAAAATTTTAATTTAATTCTAAAAAAAAAAAGGATATTATAAACAATTAAATTACAAGTTTATTTTATTGATAGCTCATTTTGTAAGCAGCAACAGCATCTTATAAACAAGTGTTTATATAGATTGTATTGATCTTGGCTCTAATTTTATTTTAAACAAAATTATTTTATAAATAAGCTATTAGTAAAATAAACTGCCTATAATGTAACCTATTAGTAAAATAAAATATATTTGTCAGTAATTAATTAATTAATTGTCTATTGTCTATAAAATAAATTTATTACTAATAAATTAAAGAAACCATATAAGATATAAATTAAAACTACTAAACTTTAACTAGGAAAACATACACTGTTAAATGTCCGGAGCCAGAAATTTATTTGACCATTGGCTAAAAATAGAAACAAATGAATTAAATAAATTAATGATCATCCGATCTAAAAATAGATGCGGACAAGATAATAATAACACACAAAATCTGGTCTATCACTTCACCGTAGATCATCCTCCGCTACGCTCCGGACAACAAGAACCGACCAAATTTAAATATTAACTCCGGATCTTCTTGTCAATGAGCTTGTACCTCGGTTAGAACGTAATAAAATAGGTTTAGATGAAAACATTTCTGGTTACACTCACTCTACAGTTATAATTTGATATGGTTCAATAAGCGGTAGACATATTTTGCCTTCTAAGTAAAGTTAGCGGGGATACTGATTATTTTTGCATAGTGAATATAGACGTTCTATTGAAGCTAAAAATGGCTTTTACGGATTAATGAAACGTTGTTTCCCAAAAAGTAACATTAGCCAATCAGATGAATGTCCTCCTATGAACAGTTAGCCGTCTATAGAAAATTTATAAACGGTTAACTGTACACAAAATATATTGAAAGTCCGATCGGCCTTTTTCACTCATATAAAACAAGGTAAAGTTTTTTATTTTTGCTTTTTAAAATGATTCATTTGAAAAATATCACATGTATAATTTTTATTTATTTTATTGGAATGGTTTTTGCTGAAGAGGAATACGATCCTAATAAAGATGTTTTGACTCGGTGATTTCTACGCTTGTTCCTACTTTGATAGTTTATATGTTTGATAAAGATGTGAGTGGAATTAAGGAATTGAAAGAGACAAATCCTTCAGATTCCAAAACGAAAGTGGAGGCAGGATCTTCAGATTCAGAAAAGAAAGCAGAGGAGGGTTCTTCGGATCTTGAAACAATAGATAAAAGTATAATACGCAAAATTAAGAGAAAACATGTTCTTGACGACTTTATTTTTTTGTTATCCCTTTTTGCTTTGCCTTCGGTGGTATTTTATAAGAACAGGGATAAATTTCCAATACCTCTTTGGATTTCAATTTTTTTAGGAATGGTATCCATTCTGGTTTTTGTTTTAATGATGTTAAATTATTTTGTTAATGTAAAAAAGGTTGATGAAGGTCGCTCTCAAGCGTCAATCTCAATGTGATTAGCAAGTGATCGTAATAGTGCTCAAGCATAATTATATTTACAA